AGTGAGACTCTGTCTCAAAAAAAAAAAAAAAGTTAGGGTTTGACTTCCATCACAATTTGCTTGCGAATGGTTCACGAATCCCAATTTCTGGCCCAGATTTGCCTCCTGAGCTTCAGCTCTGTATAACCATATCTACTTCATCACGTCCCAGATGGTGCCCAGGATGGCCCTGCCTGTGTTCTGCACCTTCAGGAAATGCACCACCCCTGCCCCAGGTGTCCCACCAGAAGCCTCCACTCCTCATCTCCTGAGTCCACTCAATCACCATGCCCTGTCAGTACTACCTCTGGGCTGTCTCTTACTTCCACCCCTTCCTGGCATCCTTTCTGCCCCAACCTAGACCAGGCCACCGTCTCAACTCTAGACAGCCATACAGCGTAACTGTTCCTACCAATCTGTCCACAAGGAGCCATTCTCCACATGTTAAATCCTCTCCTTAAAATGAATCCTTGGGATCCATTCCTGATTCTGCAGTCCCTTTGCCACCCTGCCCAGGCACCCTTCTAGCCATCCCCACTTTGTTCATCTGCTTCAATCCCTCAAACACACAGCATACTCTCACACAAGTGCTCCTACCACTGCCATGGAGATGCTTTCAATTCCACACACCTTCCCCTCATCTGACTGACACCTACTCAGTCTTCAGGTCCTACTTTACTTGGTAGCTGCTTCCTGAAGCCTTCCCTGCACCATCTAGTCCAGTTGATGCGCCCAACCGAGATTCCTATGTTCCTCCCACTTCCTTCTCACAGCACTGATCACTGGGTGTGGTAACTGTCTTTATCATCTTCTTTCCCATTAGAGCTCTTCTGGGGTAAGGGACACCTCTGCCTTTTTCATTACAGCCCCTCAAGAATGTTCATTAAGTATCAATGAATGGATGAATAGAAGGACTAAGGATCTTTAGGAATCACTAACGTAACAATTCTTTAAAATGTGGGTTGGCAATTCACAAACGATAGCGTTTCAGGAGAGGGGCAAAGCAGAAAGGGCCGAGGGGTTGGGGAAGTCCTGAAAGGAACTGGCCTGTCCAGAGTTAATGCTCAGTAATGCAGAGCCAGGCATTACCACTGTCTTTACAGTGCTGATCATCTGGACCCAGACCAAAGACCTGGTGCCAATGACTGCCCTGTAAAGGCAGTGGTAAATAGCAAAGTCAGGCAGATCAGCTCTCTCCAGAGTTTGGACAGATGGGTCCAAAGTGAAATGGCTATTTAGCAGGAGTTTCCCTGACCCCTCATATCCACCCCCTTCTACGATTGTTGTGAGCAAGTCTGTTCCTTAGGCAATGTCACCGGCACGGGTGAAGGGCAGGCGTGAGAGGGCTGGAAGCACGTGATCTCGCCTCTAAGTGCAGGGAAGGTCGCAAGGTTGGACGCCAATGTGCCCGGCCTACAAAAGAGCCAGGCCGCCCTGACTGCCAAGCGAATGGAACTACACTTGCCCAGCGTTCTGAGTGGAATGCGCACTTTGCAATCTGAGAATACTTCCCAGAAAAACGGATCCCTACGCCTCGTGCCTTCCTGAAAGCAGAGACTGCTACCCCCTCACTTACAGAAGGTCTCCTGGCCTACGCGCACTTTAATCATGATCCACTCCATCGTTCCTCCCAGGACAAAAAAGAAGGGCAGGAACCGGTAGATGCCAAGTCGCTGCTTCCCGGGCACCCGCTGCAGAATCCGTCTCACCTGGGCCCTGGTGAACATGCTCGACCGAGGTCGTGGAGATGGGTATGGCGGAACTACGCACTGGATCGCCCGGACGCAGCCAAGGCCGCCCCGCCCGTACTCGCCGTGTACGGCGGCCTGGGCTACTAACGAGCGCTGTATGGCACGCGTACCAGTGCCGGAAAGCTGGGCGCCGACCTCCTAAAGCAAGGCGGATCCACCAATCAGAATGCAGCGGGGGGGCGTGAGGTTCCGCCAATCAGAGTACGCAGGGTGCGCGTGCTCCCTGAGGCCGAGCAGGGCCAGAAGCTGCTGGCGCAGGCGCCTCAGCTCTGGAGGTGGGGCTGCCCAAAAGGGAAGGGCAGCCCACGTGGCGTCGGCCCGGCCCCGCCCTCTGCCTCCCCAGTGCGGGTCTGAACTCGGAGCTGGCAGCCGCGCCCCCTACTCTGCCACCGCCATTTTTATTCCTAATACCCAGAGAGAAGTGATAACCCTCTCGGATGGACTACGTACAGCACCACATTCCAAAATGCAATTATGCAATGCCTTGCGTTTATTTCGGAGATGTGATTGGTGCCTAGACTTCTGAAGTAACAGAATTTGATATGGAGTGTTGAAAGCTGAACTTTATCAATGATCACAGCAAAAATCTAAGTAAGCGCTGCGTGAGATACCTAAAATTAATAAAAGCTATGTTGTATGGGGCACTTACCGTTCTACAGGAACTTGTAGGTGCTTTATTCACAACAATCGCAGAAGGGCAGGATAATTAAAGAGCATGCGCTCTGTTATCAAACCACATCCCTGCTCTACAGGTGCTCCCTTAGCCCATCTGTGCTTCAATTCCCTAAGCCGTAAAACGGAGGCCTTGTTCTGACGCTGTGAGAATATAGTGCGGTAATAGGAATGAGGCACTGAACACAACCCTGGAGCATAGTAACTGATTAACATTAGTTAGAATATTCACTATGATGATAATGATTGGCAGAGCTCTTCCCATGTATTCCCAAATATGGTTTTTGTTTGTTTTTTGAGACAGGATCTCACTCTGTCATCCAGGCTGAAGTGCAGTGGCGCAGTCTCGGCTCACTACAAACCCCTCCTCCTCTGCTCAAGACATCCTCCCACCACTACAGGGGCGCACCACCACACCCGGCTAATTTTTTAATTTTTTGTAGAGACGGGGGTCCCACTATATTGCCCAGGCTGGTCTCAAACTCCTGGGCTCAAGAGATCCTCCTGCCTTGGCCTCCCAAAGTGCTGTAATTACAGGCATGAGCCACCGCGCCCAGTCTGAACGTGTATTCTTTACATGTATTCTCTTAATTGACTAAGAGGCTATGCCAGATAGAAGCAGGGCTCTGACTTAAGAGACTTCACTTGTCATTGCGTCCTCTCATGCTGCTGTGCTTGCTGAAGATAACTGAAGGGGGCTGTCACCCCATTACCTAGAACTAAAATAAAAACTGCAGGAACAGCTTTGAGAAGGGAGACAACTATTAGACAATCTAAGGAAGGTAAATGAAAGCTTAGAACCAATGAGACGATTTGGTGATATGGACACAAAATATACAAAAGCAGACTGGAGAGAGCAAGCAGCGCCCCAGAAAGGGTCATAGGGCCTGCAGTGAGTAGCCTGAGCTGCCGCCTGTACAACCGGCTTTGGAGGGCCAGCCCGGAAGCCTCTTTCTTCTCCGGGTTGACTCCACCCAAGGATGCACACACACAGGCTTGATGCTCGCTCCCATTTCTACAGGAGGTTTTGACGGCTGGACGCTGCAGAGCATCCCCTCGTCTGGAGAGGTTCACGTGTGGCCAGGTTCCCAGCACACCCACTAGTTCAGTGGGGCCCTGGGGGCACCGCCACACTCAAGCCCATCCTATGGCCTCAATCCTTACCAGTCCCCAGGCCATGGACTGCCACACTAGGTCTTCAATCAAGGTTCAGTGGAGTTTCGAATGTACACACACCCTGAAAGACAGCGAGGCCACCTCAGAAAACAACGCGTGCCCAGCTGGCACCCCTTCGACAGGGCCCGCGGGTGCTGGGTCGGCCTCCTCCGGACCCGGCACACAGCCTGGTGCGGGCTCGGAATACGGATCTGAGCAGAAGAAATGCGAGTGGAGAGCGGTTCTGCGCAGGAAAGAGGAATTTTGTTGGAAAGCCTGGCGACATTGCTAGAAAAGACCACAGCATCTCACGAGGGGCCTGCGTCGGGAAACCGGGGGTTGACGGGTGAGTGTGGCCACTTACCGAGGTCAGAAACAAGCAGGCGCAGTGACCGTGGCCCACAACCCTGCAGCGCACGGCCCAGTCACCTGGTTGAGTTAGAAGGGGTCACCCTAGCGGGAGAAGAGTCTGCCTTAGTGGACGTCGGCTGCCCTGCAGGCCTCTCGGCCTCCCCCAGCGTGGGCCTGGCACCGGGGAGCGCGGGAAAGGCTCTTTATTTGTTAGACCAGTGAGTGGACTGGCCTGGGCTCTGGTCAGTGGTCAGTCAGTCCGAGCCCGGAGACTGGGGACCAAGACCCCCGGAAAGGAGCGCACCAGAACTGGGGGGAGAGGCGGAGAATCTGGGGTCAAAAGCATCCAGAGGCGCAGGGTAGGGCGGGCGGACCCGCGAGCGGAGAGGGCGGTAGAGGACCTGGGGTCGGGGG